ACTATTCTTAGCTCATGTTTATGACATATAATGTTCACATTTGTTGCAGTTATTAGATATCTGTACCTGGCATATCTTAATGCTTCGTACTTCTCCCTTCCCCTCCCCTTCTCTCTTCCTATAAGGAATTTTACAAAATATTTTTGGCTTTGACTACAAATTACCACATAAAATCTGGTATAAATTTTCCCCTTGTGGTGTCAGAACATTTTAGGTTTTCAGACTAAACTGTTTAACCTGCAGTATCAGTTGTATGATATGGCATTATTTAATGTATCTACTAGTTCAGATGTCCATTCTGATACAAGTTTATAGGACCTAGAAAGAACTAAATTAACCCCAGACACTTTATAAGGAAAAAGAAATAAGGTTCTTACCAAAAACTAGACAAAGTTTTTAATCAGAACAAATCTGTGTGTGTTTGTAGAGTGAAGCAGTGTAAGAAATCAACACTATACAAAATAGCACCTAAAAGCACTGTGTCAGCTTCCCCATTGCTGGGGCAAAATATCTGACACCCACACTTTAAAGGAGAGTTTTATTTTAGATCGGGTTTCAGTGGGCTCAGTCCATGGTAGAATGTCCTAGTGGAGCAAAGCTGTTCATATCACAGTAGGCAGGAAGCAGACAACAATGGGAGAAGCTAGGGATAAAAACACACCCTTCTAGGTCACACCTAAGTCCAACCACACTCAACCTCCTAACAGCACATTTGCAGCCATGAACTCATCAATGAATTAATCTATTGATGAGTACAGCACCCCTACAATCCAATCACATTCTAAAAGCCACACCTCTGAATGCATAAGACTCTGGGAGACATTTCAGATCCCAACTACACAAGCACCTGCAGTAACATGTGCTTTAAGCAGAGGCAATCTTAGCACACACTTTTAAACAAGATTCTCACCAAGTCATAAACACAAAAGCTCTTCAGTTTAAAAGAAGTACCAAAACACCTAAGGTATCCTGTAGAAATAAATTCAATGCTTCACTATTTGTCAAATATTTAAATGTATACACGACCAAGTATATGGTGGCACACACCTGTAATCCCACCTACTCAGGAGACCAAGGCACGTGGATCACAAGTTCAAGACCAATCTCGGCAAGACTCTACCTCAAAATTTAAAAGAAAAGGGGTAAGGGTAGGGGATGGAGCTCAGTGTTATAGTTGAGATTTAAAATATTCCTGTAAAGTCTCATGTATTTAGAAGTGGGGCTTTTGGAAGGTAAATTGGATCAAGGGGACACTGCATTCATCAGCAGATTAAGCCACTGATGAGTTCATGATTGAGTGTTCTGGTTGGAGGTGGGTCACTGGGGCCTCGTTTGGAAGGGAGTGCTCTTGTGCTCCCATCCTTCCTTCTCTCTGCTGCCTGCCTACTGCAGTTGCACAGTTTTCCTCTTTCACACTCTTCCATCACGCTGCGTCTGCCTTGGAGCCAGTCAGGCATGACTGAGATCCTCTGACAGAATAAGCCAATTAAACCTCTCCTCCTTTAAGTTGTGGGTGTCAGGTATTTTGGCTCAGCAATGAAGAAAGTTCACTTATATACTACTACACTCAAGTGAGTGTTCCCTGTGTCCAATCCCTAGTACTGCAAAATAAAAAGCACGTATTCCCTTTGAACCCTGGTGGTTCCATCCCAGGATTATATTCATATACTTGCAAATGTGCAAAATCAATTATATACAAGCATTGTCATGGTATCAGTAGCTGTAATAGAAAATAAGAGACAACCTAAATGCTATTAAGAAGCAATAGATTAAATAAGGCACACCCCCAAAACAAACCTTATTATGATATACCTAATTTAAAACAGAAATTATTGTCTTAAGCCATTAAAAGTGATGTAGCAACCACAAAATATCAAATATTTCTTTTTCTACTTATATGAAATGTCCAGAATAGGAAAATGTATGCAGATAAGGTAGTTTAGCACTTGCTAAAAGCTGGGAATATTAGAGAGAAATGGGGAGTGAATAATAACGGGTAGGGGATATCCTCTAGGATTATGAAAATGTCCTAAGATTTATGGTGGAAATGCTGAAGAATTCTGTGATGACATTAACCTACATACATTTTATTTTTTGGTACTGGAAATCAAACTCAGGACCGTGCACTTGCCAGGCAGGCACTGTGCCACTGAGCTATATCCCCGGCTCAACTTTTAATGAGTGAAATATATGGTGTATGTGAATTATGTTTCCATAAAGCTGTTATTTTAAAAAATTAATTAGTTCTACTTGGAGTGATATGGACTCATCTCTAAGATACATTGTTCTATGAATAAAGGAAAGTACAGAACTTTGTACATAGTATGATGCATTTGTATTCTCATACACACACATACCTTATGACTTATATTTGAAATACAGATGAAACTAGCTAATTTTAAAGAAAGAACTGGGTGTCAAGAGAAGACATTTTTCATTCTACATCTTTTTATACTTCTGAATTTTGTAAAATATGTACATATTAGCTATTTAAAATACATATATGTTTAAAGTAACATATCCATTAAAGGTTCAATTTATCAAATATTCTATTTCCCATATTCAATATTTTCCAATCAGTAAGATTTATCTATTTGAGAAGTGTATTTTATATTTAAAGCTGAGAAACTATTGATCTTTAAAAACAGTCAAGAATATCAGGCATTGAATGATAGCCTAGTTTATCTTCTTATTCCTTGATTTTCATGTTATAATTTGCTTTTTAATTATTTTCCTACTGATCAGAACCTCTGTTTGAAGGTGATCAAGAAAACTGACATAAAAAGAAACAACTGGTAAACTATAATGTTTGTCAACTGTTAATAGATGTGGTAAAAATCTGGTTGAAATTGCTATCTAAAATAAATAAGTAATCCATAGAATTAATTTCATTCTACTATTTCAATTTCTACTTTGCTTCTGAGTCAACAAAGCATATTCAATATAATATTATATATTCAATATAAAGGCTGCCCTACTAAGGTGTCACATTTTTAACAATAGGTTTTAACCGATAGTATAAACTGTACTTTCTATGCTATGGCACATTTCCATTAATACCTTTAAAATTTCTCCTCTGTATACAAACCAGATTCCCACCATGTAGCCCATTGCTTTGACAACTAGTTCATTCTCGACAAAATTAAACATTTCTTCCCCAGCTACAGTGTCACCTATTTTTTACATTCATCACATGACACTGTAGTTATTTATTTACATGTCTGTGTTCCCACTATGCCTAGCTCCTTGTAGTGGAAACAGCTCATTTCATTACATTCATTCTATAACTTCAGCACCTAACACAGTCCCTGCACATAAAAAGACTCTGGGAAGTTCGCTGCATGCGTTCTTGAGATTAGAAACACTTGCAGTTTCCTATTCGGTTTTTAAATTATCATGAACCAGAATTAATTCTTCATTACTCACACTACTCCAATCCTAAAAAGAGAAGCAAATATATACAATTCCAAACTTCAAGTAATTATCCCATAGAGGGTTAATGCAAGCAAATAAAATCAATCAGATTGTACAAAACATGCTCACATAGAAAGCAATGCCAAGGGGCTGGGGATTTAGCTCAGCGGCAAAAGCGCCTGCCTGGCAAGCACAAGGTCGTGAGTTCGGTTCCCGGTACCGGAGAAAAACCGGAAAAAAAAAAAAAAAGCAACACCAAGGTAATGACAGTGCGGCTTCTGCATATTTTTCTTTCTTCTTCTAAAAGTGAGTGTACTTAAACTATAGACATCTGTCATAGTTATCAAATGTTCCTGGAGCTGAAATGTTTAATTTAGTTAGTCTCTGTACCTAAATAATGAATTGGGACAAGGGTCCATTATAGAGCAAAAAGGGTTAACTGGATGTTTCAATAAATCCCTGATAGTAGCCAGGTGTGGTGGCACACACCTGTAATCCCAGCACTCGGGAGGGTGAGGCAGGAGGATCACCATGAGTTTGAGGCCAGCCCAGGCTACATAAGTGAGTTCAAGACCACCCTGAACTACAAAGCAAGACCCTGTCTGAAAAAAATAAAAATAAATCCCTGATACCTGCTGGCTTAACATCAGTGCCAGATAAAACACCAAGAGTCCCAGGGGGAACCATCAGCGACCTGAAAGGGAAAGGTAGCAAAGGTCTACTGCAGCTAACTCTTGCAAACAACCACTAAGCCAAAGTCAGTTACCCTTTCTTTACATAACCGTAGGTGGTTAATTCTTAAACACCTACTACAGTAAGATGGACATTACACAGCCGACTGGCAGAGATACGTGAAAACATTCATTTCATTCAGAAGTCAAGTAAATACGTAGCAGATTTCTTGCACACTAGCTAATGAGTGATAATGTAGATTTGAGTTTTAGCACCTTTTTATTACTGTCTTCAACAGTCCAAGCAATTTTATCAGCTAGTAATTCAGCAGAACACCATAAAGGTAAAAATCAGAAAGCTGAAAAGCTCTGGAGAGGTTAGATAGGCCATAGTAGAAAAAAGGATGAAAAGACCTAAATGTGGTACTGACTAGAAAGAAAATTTCAGGGGACATTACTTGTAAGCTCACCGTAACCTAGCTGTGTAACCTTAGGTAACTCACTCTGAATCCTAAGTCTTAGTTTTCTAAACTGTAAAAATGGCTGGAGGGGCTGGGGATTTAGCTCAGCAGCACAGCGCCTGCTTCGAAAGTGCAAGGTCATGAGTTCAATTCTCAGTACCAGAAAAAACAAAAAAAATAGAAAAAACTGGCTGGAATATTTGATCTCTATGATCCTCTTTAAATTACCCCATAATTAGTGCAAAATTTAGGAATAACGATTTTACATAAAAAGTGGTATACATGGCATTTTTTTCTTATCACCAGTTCATTACTTGATTCTTTTCACAATCATTTTAGGACCATTCCACCAAGATGTCAGAGATACAAATTATGAGGCAAATTCATAGCTTCTTTCTCTATAAAACAAAAGTCATAATCAATAAAGTTATTTTAATACAAAAGTTTAACTGACCTGGTGCAACTACATTCACTCTAATTTTCTTTCTTGCCACCTCTTTAGCAAGTGCACGGGAAAATCCAACCAATCCTCCTTTACTGGCACTGTACACGGACTGGCCAGAATTCCCCTTTAAACCAACGATACTGCCTAGAAGAAAAACAGGAAGTAAGTAAATTCAAACCAAGGAATGGTTACTTGGAAATTCAGATAATTTATAGTGAACAAGAGAGGTACAAAAAAAAAAAAGTACAAGCCATTTCATCTTATCCTATGCTAACATTAGCAATTGTAATTATTGTCATTTGAGTAGTGAAACTTAAAAGGCCAAGTCTATGCCACACTCATACAGAAAACAGGATAGGGAAGAAGCTGATATAAAACTACAAGGACCAGCAGGAGGCTTTCAAATTGATCTCTTGAGCCGGGGATATAGCTCAGCAGCACAAGCGCCTCCCTGGCAAGCACAAGGTCCTGAGTTTGATTCCCGGTACTCACAGAAAAAAAAAATTTGATCTCTTAAGTGAAAAGATCCATTCTAAGCCCTAGTAAGTCAGAAAATGAAAAGTCTGTAGCATATAAAGAAAATCAGCAAAAAGAAGTTAAAGCCACAAAGGCAGATTAATATTATTATTCTATAGCCAAATACATAAGGAAATACTTCTACCAAAAAAAATCCATTCGAAGATAAATCTCGCTAAATTGCCAATTCAAATATCAACTATATACAAATAATTCCTTATGATATAAAAATTAAACAAGAACCTCTTGAAATTTTAAAGAGAATTAAAAAATATCAAAATAACAACAACATAGACAAAAACAAAACAACACAAAAACAATAAAAATGATACAGGGTTTCAAAACGATAGGAACTAACAGTGGTTGTGATATTACATATTGTTATCTTCAATGAAGTTGCTCAGATTACCAGATGTAAGAATGCAAGACTGATCAAACCACTAAAGATAATAAAAAATAATATAAAAAAATTAGAAACGATACAGAGCTTCACTAAACAAGATGGTAGGAATTGTTATCTTGTATATTATTGTCTTCAAATTAGTTGTTCAGATTACCAGATATAAACATGAAAAATTGATCAAAAAGATTTTAAGCATTAACTGTTCCTTTCAATAAACCAATAAACATCAGCAGTACAATCATCTCAGCTATCCTTCTACATACATATATATTTTTTTTCCTTCTTTCTTTCTTTCCCTCATCCTAGTTGTTCCTTCCCTTTGAGCAATTTCTTTCCCTTTCACAAGATCTATTGTACCTTTTGGGTTTTATTTACTCTTTCAGGAAGAATCTCATGAAATTTTTAAAGTAATTTTACTTTTAAAAAAATTCTACTTTTCCTATTATAACCAATAACTCTAATATTAAAATAGTTAAATAATATTAAAATATAACTCTAATATTAAAATAGTTACATTATACAGTTATGTATCATGACTGAAAGAATATACTCATGCACACCTCATTAGGTGATTTTACAGTTGGTTAAATATATAGCCTATTCCTCTGAGACTATACACCTGAATAGCATATTACTGTATTGAATACCACAGGCAATTGTAAAGCAGTAAGTATTTGTGTATCTAAAGATAGAAAAGATACAGTAAAACTACTAGGCAATGGAAACTTTCCCCTATGTTATAATTTATAATCAAATGTGGTCCCTCATCAATTGAAACATTAGGTGGCACATAACTTTATATTGTACGCCAGTTAATGACAAAAGAAGAGTACTATGAAGCGTGCAAAGAAAAGATAGTAGACCAAGAAAATACAGATGGACAGACAAAGGGCTATACAGGAGAAAAGAAATACACAGAGACCAAAAAAAATGAAAAGGGGGAAGAGGAAAGGAGAGAGGGAGGGATGAAAGGAAGGAGAGGAAGGGCAGGAGAGAGAGAAACAGAGAAGAGAGAGAAGAGAGACACACAGAGTAACAGGCATGGAAGAAAGGCCAAAGAGGAAAGTTTAATAGCTTTGGTTCCTACCACACACTATCATCCATCTGGTCAAAAAGTGGCAACTTTGGAAATATAGTAGCTCTTCTGTAGTGAGAGTCTCTTAATTCACTCTAAAAGCATTACTTTTTGTAATAAAAAGAAGTTTCACATACATCGGAAGGACTTCCACTTTTGAAATAGACCTACAAAGGGGGCATTTTAGAGTTAAACAAATGTATTCCACATTATCAAGTGATAGATACGTCCGTGTTCTTAAAAGAACCCAAAGTCGTCTTCTGTGTCAGAAGACAAAGGTCTGCTCATTCACTAATTCCTTGGAGAAAACAGCCCTTCGAAAGCCTCATTTACTTGATGGAGCAGCACCCCCTTTTTGTGGCCTTTGAAGGTATCACCACTTCAAAGTAAAAAGCAGGTGGTATGCTATTTTCAAATTACAAAACTGAAATAAAATTTCAAGTCATTTTGCACTGTAAATTCTATCAGCATATACTGCATAGTGTATCTTCCCTGTGTTTCAGATGAACTGAAGACTAGAGGTTACTTACATCTATTCTAAAACTACTGAAATTTACGGGCTGGGGATTTAGCTCAGCGGCAAAAGTGCCTGCCTGGCAAGCGCAAGGCGTGAGTTCGGTTCCCGGAAAAAACTACTGAAAATTATTAACTTCCTTTAAGCTTCTGCACTAGAGCTATCAGTGACCTACCCAACTACTATGATTATTTAGCCCCTAGTTCCTACAGTTCAGTTTTGTCAATATTTTAAAATTAGGTTTCACATAAAAATTAGGATGTCCAATTTCTGTTGAGAAATAAAAACTGCTGACAAAAATGGACCAGATTGAAGCATAGTAATTATCTACTGGATCTGAGCAGTGATGGCCTCCACCACTCCCTATGGCCTCTGGTCACAGAACCCAGACAGTTTTTGTCATTTGGTTTCAACTCTCACTTTTCTAATACTTGGTAATGGCACTCATTGAACACCTGCCTGATCCCTACAGGGATGTGAATTAGAGATTCCTCTTTTACCCACTGATCAGGTAATTAAAACCTTTTCCCACAGATCATACACAGGTAAACTGCATCTCAGATTCACAAGTGAAGTCACAAATTAGTGGATTAAATACTTTTATGGTGGACTGAGATAATTATAAATCCACAATAGTGAAACTTACCCACATTAACAATAGACCCTCCCTGTTGTTGAATCATAGTCCTCATGGCAGCTTTACATGTCAGCATGGAACCCAAGAGGTTAGTATGAAGCTGAGATACCATATCTTCAGTTTTTGTTCTTACTAAAAGGTTATCTCTACAAAAAGACACAGCATGTAAATTAATAAGATAAAACAAACAAAAACAAAAAAAGGTCAAGACATACAAGACATATGTAGCATTTTGAATGAAAGCGAAGTATAAGAAGTGCTTTATATCTGAACTAGAATACCTGGAAAGCTCTACTTTGAACTTGGCAGAAAGCCACTAAAAAAACAGCTGATGAGCCAGAAAGAATCCACTTCAAAGGCAGTTCCTGCTTCCCATCAGCTACAGTAGCAGATATTCCTGTGAAAAGTAGTACCTGTGGAGCCAAAATACTTGGAATGGTTTGAGTAACTGCCTACTAATCCCTGTTAAGTATGACAATGAGTATGTTATTCTAAATATGTTCTTCAAAATTCATCTTTTAAAAAGAAGAATACCCACCCTATGACTCCATTAGTTATCAAGTTCATATACTGGCAAAGCATATGGTAAAAGAACCCAAAACAGTCGATAGTGATGAGAAAGTATTAATGGAAAACAACTTAAGCTCATCTTCAGAAGTGCTAGAAATGTTCTATAGCTCAATAATGGTGATGATTACAATGTTAAAAAAATTTATCAAACTGGACATGTCTCAATATAAAAGAAAAGAATGTATGAATTGACAAAGCTTTTGTTTGCTTATTTGCTTGTTTGTAGTACTAAGGATTGAACACAAGGCCTGAACCCAAGGCCTGGCATATGCTGGGCAAGTGTTCTACCACTGAGCTACATTCCCTGTCTTTTCCAAATGTTGATACAGGGTCTAAGTTGCTCAGGATGGCCTCAGACTTTCAATCCTGCTTCAGCCTCCCAAGTAGCTGGAATTTCAGCCTTGTGCTGCCACACGCGGTTCTACAAAGTTTTAAAATGTGTACTTTTTCTTTCAATTAGAAATAAAACAATATATTAACTTATAATAAGCAAAGGCCTACTAAGGGGAAAAAGTTCTTTTAAAAAACAGACATTAAGCGCCTGCCTGGCAAGCGCAAGGTCGTGAGTTCGGTTCCCGGTACCGGAGAAAAAACAGACATTAGAAATTTACTTAAATCTGTGACCAACCTGTTAATACCAGCTGCATTTACCAAGAAATTTACTTGACCTAAATGTTTCTCCATCTCTTCAAATGTATTTTGAACATCATGTTCTTTAGCAACGTCACAGCTAAAAGCCACATGATTTCCTGCAAAAAAACAAAGTTAAATCAGAATTAGGTATAAATTTTCACTTGAATTTTCTCAACACATATTTGTAAGCATCTACTATGTAGCATGCTTGTGCTAAATCCAGAAATATCAAGTAAGGGTGCCATAGGTTTCTGTCCTTGTGGATTTGTCTAATGAAACTGGGATGGGGCTAAGTGGAGAACAGAGGTAAAGCAGTACTATTACAGAAAGTTAATTTTTAGGCATTTGGGGCTTTTACTGGTTACAGCAATGAATGCTTGTAGTCCCAGCTACTCAGGAGGCAGAGGCAGGAGGATCACTTGAGTCCAGGAGTTCAAGGCTAGCCTGGGTAGCACAAGACCTCAACTCTTTAAAATTTGAAAATAAAAAATAAAACTTTGGCCAGGTACAGTGGCATGAGACTGTAAACCAAGTGAATAGTGCTTTGCAAGATTAGTATTTATAGATTTGACACTGAACTCATGCTACCCAGTTCACTAGTCCTCCGGGTTTTGTATTCCTTTTTTGAAATTTATGTCTAATTCTTTTAGGTTGAATTGGTTTCTTTGGCCCTGAGAACAAGTCCCAGGGTTTCTTCTTATTATTCTTTTTTATGCCCTACCAATACAGAACTGCACAAATATTATAACTATTTTTCAAGCCTGAAAAGGAGAGATGAGACAACACAGGAACTAGCTTTTTCTTAAGTTTTAACAACTACAAACCATTGACTGGGTTGTAACTTTTTATTGAAAGCAACTATTATCAGTCAAAAATGTCTGCTTTTAAAAAAAGTTTAAGTACAAAATTATATTTCAAAGAAAATAAAGTATTACTTTTCTCAACCTATGATATAGTTATGTCTAAATAAACCTATCAAAAGGTGAAAATATCGGAGACTGAAAATGTACTTAACACACCCTACCTGCCAAATAGGTGGCTTAGTGAAACACTACACTACACAGTGTCAGTGGTCTCCCCTCTGGATTGCCTCCCTGGCTGGGAGCTAGAGCTTGCTGCCACTGTTTAGCATCCAGAGTATGACACCACAAATCACAAGCTCGGGAAAAGATCTAAATTCAAATTTGATGCATGGTTTGTACTGAATGCATATTTCTCTCACACCATCACAATGTCAAATTATTGGTAAATCGGTTGCACCTATTCTAAAATGTAGAATGTTTAAGAAGCTAAAACGACTATTTTCTGCTCGACTTTGCCAAATATGTTTACACTAACATTATGCCTTTAAGCCTTTGCAAACCGTACTGTCAGCTGGGAAATCACACTTGGCTAATGAAAACTATCACTCAGAGAACACAAGATTGAAAGAATGAAATGCCCAGTGTCTCATGCTTAGCTTTCACCTGAAGACTTGCTGGTTTACCCTTTAAAACTCAACCAATGGTTTTAATCTGGCCCAGCAAACCCAGGCTCAGGGTGACTCAGGAAGGAAGAAATTTTCCCTCCCCTGTCAGAATGGCAATAAATATGGCTGTAAGAAACATTCACTGAAATTCTCCAGCTTTTACTTGTACAGAGCCCAGGATTTTCCCAGCTACAGAAACAATGAGGATAAACTGATACCAACCCAACCAAGGACGTAATTGTAAAAGTAACCTCCACAAGATACAATCTCAGGGCTCTATTTCTGTCTCCTTGATAAGTGACTTATATTGTTCTCCATTTGAATAATTAAACAAATAGCATCATCTTAATATCTTTCAAAGGTCTTATTTCTTCTTACCATCAACAGTCTTCAATTTGCAAAAAAAATCCATTACCGAGAAGCCTAAATGCAGTAAGAAGGATCTGGCTAATCAAATTTGAATTTATTTATAAAATTCACCAAAACTAATTAATGTTATTGAAGTGCTTCATGGATGTAGTAAAGCAAGCCAAATGCACCTCTAAACGAGCAGGTGCTCAAAAGGGCTTGTCTTCCAAACTGTGTTCACACAGGGGCAGCACTGCCCCCAGCAAAACTGCACAGCCCTTCCTGCCTGCCACGCCTACCTTTCCCGCCCAAACTCCTCTGCGCCCAGCCCTGCACCCGGGCGCCCGGAAACAGAAGTGAACCCTGGCGTGCCTATCTCCTGTAAGATGCCAGAGCAAAGCAGCTCCTCCGGGTCAGCACCGGCCGCAGGGAGGCGGGTGGTTACCGGAGTAGGGGGCGCTCACAGGACTGCGATGACAGGGACACCCCAAGTACTCGGCCCTTGGCTGTTGCGGTGCTGAACGGGGTGCGGGCTGCGGGTGGAGAGGTGCACCCCACAAGCCCCTCTACGCCCCGGACGCAGCGCTAAGCCTCGGGTCGTGCAGGCGAGACCCACTCGCTTCACACAGGGGGAAATCCACAGTCGGGGCGCAGCCACCCCGCCGGACAACGCCCTTCGGTACCTACCGCCGAGCTCGGCGGCGGCGGCTCTGGCCACTTCCAGGTTTCTGGCGACGATCGCCAATCGGTAGCCTTTCTGGGCCATTAACTGCGCTACCGCCCTGCCGATACCCCGGGAGCCCCCAAAAATAGCACACACTTTGTTCATTTTGGACCCGAGAGTCGCAAAGTCAGAGGCAGCAGAGCTGGGAGTGGCAGCCCCCTCCCAAGTACCCTGGACTTTTAAACAACCGCGGTTTCAAGCAGAAACTCGAATCGCTACGAAGAGCCCGCACGGACCCCTTCCCCCTGCTGCCGGACTGGCCCCTGCGGCCGCGAGGCGTGGGCGTCCCCGCGCCGACGTCAGCACGCACGGATCTGCGTCATACGCGCGCTGACGTCAGCACGTACGGGCTCTGCCTGGGCGTCGGCCCCGTAACACAATGGCCTGGGGCGGGGGTTGGTGCAAGCTGGAACCTGTAGTCTCCACTCAGGCGAGCAAGAGGCGTGGGCGCAGCTCAGTGGGAGACGTACTTGGCCTCCCTGGAGAATTACACCCAGAGGACCAGTCTTCCCGTTTGCTCAGAGATAACAGGGTTGTCAAGATACTGGACTTTCCCTGGCAACCCGTAGTTGATCGTGGTAGTTAGCATCCAAAATGTACACTATTGGGCGTAGTGTGTCAGAGCTCCAGGCATACTTTTCACCTAGGTTTGCTCATTGGCTAGGCTGCAGACCTGATGGCTTGCCTGTTGAAGAAGTGGCCCCCAAATATCAGACTTGCACCAAAGATCTACCAGTCCCTCCCCGCCTCAGCTGCAGGCATTACCATTCATCTCCGGCGGTGCTGTGAAGATGAATTACCTGTCCGATAACATCATATAGAAAGTGCTCAAGAAATACCTGAATGACTTACAGTCTTCATTCTGAATGAATGAAATAACCTTAAACTGCTATAGACAAAAATGGATTCCTGCATTTCTACACACTGATGTACTGAGTGCTTTGAGAATTAATGAGCTTTTTAAAAAGTGAATATTTGCTTTCGTTACAGTGCCAAAGGAAACATTTCCTGAGACACTATTATTGCACTAAATGATTCAGAAAAGTATAAGCCACAGTCCGTCTAAAAAATATACAATTTGGGACAAAAGACTAATACACAGGAAATTCTTATTTAGTAAAGCACAAAATTACATTAACACAAGAATACAGGAATAATTGGTCAATAGGAGTGAAAGAGTGAGCCGTACATAGTGGCACACACCTGTGATCCCAGCTACTTGAGAGACTAAGGCAGAAAAAATATCCAAGTTCAAGGCTACTGGACAACTTAGCGAGCAACTTGGTGAGATGCTGTCTCCAAATGAAAAGGACAGGATTGCTGAGGGCTGACGGTGTGCTTAGCAGTAGAGTGCCTGCTATCATGTGTGAAACCCTGGGTTCAATCTCCATGGGGGGGGCAAGGGTCAGGGAAAATCTGGATTTGAAGATTGGATGAGGTTTGAAACAAAGGAAATGCAAAAGGACTATAAGCAAGTTGAATATTATACATTTGCTTTCTATTTCACCTAAATCCAAAAGAAATTTGAAGTGGCTTTCAAAATACATGAGCAAATTATTTTAAAAAGCAAAAAAAAGAAAAATCACCCCAACTGCCCCAAGGCCAGAACAATAAAATGAGGTCAGTGGAAAAGTTAATCCAAATAAAATCATGCTGTAAGAATCTATGTAGGGCTGGGAATGTAGTTTAGTAGTAGAGAACTTCCAAACATGTGTGAGGTCATGGATTGGATCCCCAGCACTGCAAAGGCAAACAAAGGAACAGAAAGAATCTAGTCAGTATTAAAGAAGAGGCTGTGTGAGTTTCCTAGCTGTCAAAGCAACAAATGAAATAAAATTAATTCTGTGTAATAATTTCCATAAGAAATATATATGTCTTGCTTGTGTGGCAAAGACCTCTGAGCAAAATGCCTTCCTCGTAGATTCTCCTAAAGGGCACAGAGAGAAGCATAATAGACAGTGCTCTCCATGAGAAATGGGGGGAAAAAAAGACTGTAAGGCTATTTTACAGCATTTATTTTACTTTATTAACAGCAACTACAATAGGAAGTTAAACAATGGAAGCAAACATTCAGACTCCAGAATATCCTGCTATCTCTGAAAGAATGAAGAAATAAGCCAGTTACAGAAAAATTGGGATGGTGCTGTGTTATAGTAGGCTTTAAAGCTATAAGCAGGCATTAAACCAGAGGGCTCTGTAAACTTTTAACTAAAAAAAAAAACTACATTTAAGAACCGTAAGTTTAGAAGCACTATCAGGGTAAATTATACCTAATTGTTCTAAGTCCCTCTCTCACTGTACACCCATATACAACCTTGGGAAAGGAAAACTGTTTTAGACAAATTACCAATACTGTACCAACATCAGCCTAAATGCCAATGATATTCCTAGCATCCAGCATCTTAGGGTAAAGCAGAGAGGTTCAAATTTGGGGCACAGTGCTGGCCATTTTATAGGGGAAAAGTTGCATTCTTCCACACACTGTTATTTTAACAAAGCAATATGATTTTTAGATGTGTGCCATCTGTCACAAAGATCATTAACACATGGTCTGAGGTGACATTCCACATTCTCAAAACCTGCCAAGTTTTCTCACTGTGTGTGCACAGTAAATGGATAGATTGAGCTTTTCCTTCAACACATATATCAGTTTAAACCCCAAGGCTTTGGTCCCTCTTAGTACAATATCATTACCATCCTGGGTGTGAATACACCTATAATAACATATCAACCCTTAGCAGCGAAGGTTATTGGCAGGGGAAGTTTCTCCCTGACCCCCTGAGAGTGAAGCAAGCATCTGTAAATTAAACTGTGTCTCCCTGACCTAGCAGGACACTAAAGAAAGCCACTAGATGGTCCATCTCTAGTCTTTTCTTCTCACTTACTGTGTCACTTTTGTAGTAATACCTGACCATACTTTACACATTTGTTTGATTTAAACTCACACAGGATATGTTTTCTCTTGGCTGTAATGATCAAGGGGAAACATTCTTTATGTATGAGGACTGTTAAACAAATGTAAATATACTTTGTATATTTCTGTGATTACAAAGGAATATCATTGACTTGCCAAAAACTTAGGAAAAGCAAACTTTTTAAAGCAAACAAAAATTAATTGAAAGCATTGTATACCTTACGTGGACAGCATGCTTTGGAAATTATATCTCAATGGAGCTGAGGGGTTTTTTAATTGGAGAACTTGTTGTGTGAAATTTCAACTAATTGTGGAAGAGTTGTACCTTTCATGGATATTTTTATCCTAATCTAAGATTTGCAATGCCAGGTTTCAAGTATAAGAAATACAAGAAAATTCATTTGTCAGATATTCATAATTATGATTTAATATTTATTAAAAATTAATAGCTATGATTTAATATTTATTGAGAATGTTCTTTGCACAGCACACTGTACTAAATGCATCCACTTGGCAGGTCCATAATTGAACTATCACCTTCCCTGCCAGACATTCCATCTCCCAGGATTCTTTGGGCAGCGATGAATAATCTGATTTACCCAGACTGTGTTCCAGTACAGCCCAGGCTCTTATTTCAAGAAGAGAGATGAGAAAGCTGCCTCACTGTGGCTGCAGAGATAACTTTTGCGATTAAAAAGCAAAGTTGATCATATTGGCATTCTTCTATCCAATCTGCAGGATAATCTAAATTGTAAGGAATGTACTTATTGTCATTTACAAAAAAACTTATTTACTTTTGAGCAGCCAAAAAAAAGTGACCCCTGAAAACTTTTATTTTGCTGAACTGGCATTCATCCCTAAGAGGTTGCCTACAGAGACCTCAACTGAATACCATCCTCACACACTCACCCTTCTGAGGCCCCACCTTTGAGTTTATTCCTGCCTTGTCACACACCGAATGTCTAATAAGTGATGACTTCCTGCTGCTTCTCCTTCCTAAATCTCAAGCTGGCCACACCCTCTCCTTAAAGTCTGTTGTCACCTTTGTTCACTCTGGGGTCTAAATGACTGGTGCATCTGCCCTACACTCCTCAGGAGCCACCCTCAACCGCACACCACAGAGCTACTTCTGAAGTACAAGTCTGATCTTATTAATCTCTGTATAAACCCCTAAAGAGCTTCCCAATGACCACAGACTGAAACGGGGTCCTCCCTGGTCAAGTTACCTCTCCAGTATCCTCTTCTATAACCTTCCCTCACTGCCACTGCTGTGCTCACCCAGATTATCCACAGTCCTACATTCTTCACTCTACAAAGTACTTGCAACTCCCTGCTGCGACATGCTTTCATACTGCCAAGCTTTCCCAAATATTGTCTTCTCAACCTGTAACACTGCCCCTCCAGGTGACGAAGATTTATTGCCCAAGACACGGGTCAAACGTCCCTTGCAATGGAATCGCTTCCTAATCCACTGAAGGACACGCCTAAGCTTCCCTTCATCCCTCCCCTGACCTTGTATGGACCTGCAAGTCTATTTCATGGAGAGATCTTGACTTCCAAGTGCAGAGAACTTTAGGAAGAAAGTAAATGGACTTGCAAGGATCTGGGAACCTAACAAATTAAATAAAAAACTTTGTGTCCATTTCAAAGCCACCTCTTTCATTTGGGTTTTCCAAGGAAAACTTTTACCTAGAAAGGTAAAGAACTTTAGGTACTGAGTTGTGAACTCTTTGAATACAAAAATTATCACATTAGTTTTTATTTTCTTAATTGTAGCCCAGTTCCTAGGGCTTGTGAGTGCTGAATTAATTAGTGGATGAATAAGTATGTGAATGAAATAACTCATTCAAAAAGAATGTATTGCTATAGGCAAGAACCAGAGTTGGATACAGCTACAATTATGGTAGACCTGGCTCCTGCATTCATGAGGAAAGTAGTTTGGCAAGAAAGACAGACATTAAACAATTAATCATGCAATTGCTGTTTAATTATAAAGGTGAGGAGACGTTCAAGGAAGTACGGACTGCAAAGAGAGGATATATCTAGGGGCTGGGGTCAGAGAAGTCTTCTTTGAGGATATATTCAAAAAATGAATGATTGATACAAAGAATAATAACTACAGTAACTAACCATTAGTCCATTATAAGATTAACTAGGAGATGACATAATTTGTACATAAAGAATAAAATCCAAAAGTCTAGAAATGGACTTTCAGCAATGGAAGAAATAATTATCAAAGCTGGGCTGATATTGCTTCTAGATGAGATCACTTTGCTTGGATGAATATGTCACCAGGAGGTACCTCAGAGGAGTGTGATGCCTGACATTTTATGAAACTTTTTTCACCAACCCAAAATTTTCTATTGGTTTAAAGCCAGCTCTGAATAC